GGTACGTCGCAAAATGCGGTACGTGCCCGTGCCCCCGCGACACAAAACGGAGGAGCCGACGGCGGTCCCTCTGCCCCGGAGCCGCGCCCGAGGAATCCGGTTGAGTTTCGTGCTCTCTTGTAAAGTTAGGGAAGTGACATAGTTTTAAATACCTTGCGTAAGGTTCAGCGTGCGCACTGAATGGGCCAGGACGCGATGAACTCCGGCCCGTGTTATTCTCTGGTAATGAAGACACGGGTAGTGGAAATTCCTCCGCTAAAAGAAGCTTGACATGTTTCTCTCTTTAGGGAGCCTGGAGGAAGATTCCGGGTACCCCATCCATTTGTAGTATCACGATGGTTTTTTAGTTAGTATTGTATGTCCTGTATCGGCAAGACCTGAAAGTGGATGGGATGTATGTGACCTGTCGCTTCTGGGTTTTGGTGTTGATTTTTTACATTTTTTGTTTACTTTCAGTGGCAAGAACTCAGGTGCTTGGAGCATTACCAATGAGAGGTCACTGCTGGGTGGGTATCTCTTTAGTTCCACACACCAGTGTCAGTTGTTAATGCCATAGTAGTTCACCATTAAGCTCAGCACCAAGTCAGTAACAAAGCGATGAGGTTACTAATGGCACAGTGACTGACTGTTTAGCCAGGTGAGATTTTCAAAGTTCTTAAATATGCAACAGTGGCATGATTTTAATTAAGTGCTTTACTGAGTTACTGATGGGGCCTAATATATTCAAAATACTGAAACGCTCCATTTTTAAATTATTTTGAGCAATCAATTGAATGACATCCCTATGCTGACTGTTTAAACAGAAAGCACTAAAGCTCTGAGGAAAAAAAAAAATCACTACTGCTTTTCATTTCTTACAATATACAGAATAGATGTTCTGGTCTTCCCTTAGTGATGCAGCAGGCAAGTTGGACTACAAGTCATGATATCACACCATCACATATGGAGAAGAAAAGGAGGAGTAAATGGCACCATGTAGTTGCCTGTGATAAGATCTCAAATTATAAACATCAAGAGAGATCTGTGCATTTTCTTCTCACCAGAAGAGCATTTATCTGTGCCACGTTCCATAGTAGCAAACAAATATGTCACAGTTACCTGACACTGTCCCACGTAACCTCACACGTTACCAAGCTGAAGTCTCCGAAGTTCCTATGGTGAGTTTAAGCTTTGCACACTACTGTCAAGTACTCTCACACTGAAAAACCAAACTAAGCAAGTCCAAAATTCCTGCTTACTGACTTCATTTTACTTAAAAATCTGATCACAAGAGCTGCTCATGGTTTATCACATGCCAGACAACAGCTTCGACTATGTCTGCTACAAACTTACATGGAAGTTTGAGTCATCAGAAGAAACAGCTTTCTGGTTAGTTGTAAGAGAATTATTTGCACCAACTCAGTTGCTTTCAAGTAAAATGGAAAAAGTCATAAACCATATACAGTGTTCATCGTGATTAAACACAAATCCTGTCTTTGCAAGGAACTCCAGCTCTGACTGCTACTCTTCTAAAGTAAATTAAGAGCTTTGTGCACTCATCATTATTCTGAAGGCTGCAAACTGAAAGTGCATCTCTAAGCAGCCTTTAATAGAACTTTTCAGCTAGCACTGTTTGTGTGCAGGGCAAAGATGACAGCGCTGCAACTGACTGTTATCATCTTTTAATGTCTTGAATGGATTAATCTTGAACTGGCCTGAACAAACGAAACAGCTGTCATGGGATCACAGCTGTGAGGTGAGAGACAACAGACTTCTCAGATACCCTCCCCTGCATTACCACAGTTTGTCCAACCTGTCCAACTCTTCAGTTTAGAAGGCAGTTGTTCCTGACTGGCATTACCAGTACCACTGGCAAAAATTTCAGTGTCATTAGGAAGGAAGTTCTACTGCAACATTTTACTGCAGTTTTACTTCTTTGTTTTCAGGGTATTTAATTAAAACTATTATTCTGGCAAAGAAGGTCAGCAGTCTCCTGGACTTAGGAACCTAAGTGCCACTGGCAGGTCAAGGGAGGTGAGTGGTGAGAGTATATCAAGTGTGCAGTGTCCAGTTCTGCTCTCCCCAGTACAACAGACAGGGACATTCTAAGATGAGTCCACCAAAGGGCGATGGAGGTGGTGCAGGGACCAGAGAGTCTCTTGTGCAAGGAGAGACTGAGGGAGCTGGGACTATGCAGCCTACAATGGAAGGATCAGGGGGGTTCTCATAAATGTTTTGAATACCTGGTGGGGAGGAACAAAGACTGAGACAGACTCTTCTCCGTGCTGCCCAGAGACAGGATGAGAAGCAATGGACACAAACTGAAATACAGCAAATTCCTTTTAAATGGAAGAAAAATATACCTTTTTTTTTAACTGTAGGGGCAATTGGACATTCAAACAGGTTGACGCACTGAGTGGTTCTGGTGTCTCCATCTGTACAGATGCTCAAAGTCTGACTGGATACAGTCCTAAGCAACCAGCTCAAGCCGATGCTGTTTTAAATAGGAGGGTTGGACTAGACAGTCTCCAGGGGTCCCTTCCAACCTCATCCATTCTATGATTTTGGGATTATAATCATTGTGTTTTAATTTTTCTAGAGATGAAAACCTGTGGTCATTAGTAATTATGTAAAGAGCAGCTAGTTATAGTTAGTTTGGGAATGTTCTTCCTACTTGAGAATCACACAATTCAAATTAATGTCTCGGTCTGAAATGCAGTTTGTTTCTGCAGAATTTACCAAAAGTATTAGAATAATCCTAAACCAATTCTGTTTATACAAAACCTCAGATCAAAGTTTGCCTTCAAATTTAGATTCTGAGATATTACTAAATTTGGTTGAATAATGGTATCTTGACTACAGGCAAAAACCCCAATTAGCCAATACAGTAGTATTTATACACAGCAATTAACTACTCTTTAAATCATCCCTGTAATGAAACTCCATGGTGAGATTCAGTTTCAGGTCTTGTTTTCTTCCAGCACCAACAGAATTAGAAGCAACATTTCTTTACATCATATTACAAGCTTTATGGTGTTTCATAGAAAATCACAATGGGTGAGATTGGAAGGGACCATGGTGATTTTTAATGGAAAAAAAAATTAAATTATGTCTAACATAATTTTAATTGTAGACATCAGATTTCAGTTTCACCTGCAGAACAGAAATAAAGAGCTAGAGGATTTGTTTTTTTCACTGATGGAAATTTATTACAAATACACATATTCACTGCTTATTATGTGCCTGCTGCACGTCAGAAACAAAACCATATAGAACTAAAAGTGCTTTTATTAAATATCAGAAAAACACTGCGATACAAATGCAATGCAGAATCCTCCTGCAAGTCATTTAAACTCAGTCAGGTATAAACTCCTTTGGATATCTGAACATACTCTCTCACAAGAAGTATGTAATAATAACAATTACATATTGGTATCAGGGTGCTTCAAACCAAAAGCATAAGTGTTTTCGAGACTGATCTCAACTGAAGTGAGAAACCAGAATTTGTCTTCACTAACAATTACTCCAGACATACTTTGCTGCAGTATTTTTAATTTTTTTTTTTAAGGAACAACAAAATCTCTCAAATGCCTTTAAATACGGCATTAAAGTTGTCAGGCACTAAGACAGTTCAAGATACAAACTAAGGGCTCTGCCAAAAAGAAATGTAAAGGCTTCCAGGGCAGCCAAAGGCTAGATGACTTTGCCCATTCCTTTTGTACAGCTCTCATAAGGGTAACTTTTGGTAGGCATAAAGCTTATCAAACCGCACATAAGTGTAGAAAAACTTCAACATGCCATGGTCTGGAACCTCTAGCAGGGTTAGTTTGTTTTGCTACCTTGCTCAGCAAGAGATCTCAGAAATCTGTGGGATCCCTTAGTTAGCTTCTACTTAGGGAAAAACTCCTTCCCTGATGGGGAACTCTTACTTGTGGAAGGAAAGTCACATACTTTCTCTGAGTATGACATAATGCCTTCATAATGGATGGAAGGATGTTTCTTTCAATATGCATGAAAACAGACACAAAGAGCCTGAGAAATCCAAACCTTTCATTTCAGATGAGCTGGTGCTTCAGAACTGAAAATAAATTTACCTCTAGTCCCACAGCTCTTTGAATCTCCTCCCTGGGAGATACTAAAGCTTGTTCAAACCTTGGATATGTAACCACATGCATCCTCATTTGTTAAATGAAACTTTTTTTTTCTGAGAACAGACACGCCTGAAGAACTTGTGTTCAGTTAGCCTTGATGACTGCACATGGGTCACAATTACGACTCCCATCTAAACCCATGCTCAGCACCACTCAAATACAAGTAGCTTTCAAAATGCCATCACAAGTTCTTGACTATGCAGAAGAGACATTGTAACCGTAAAAAAAAAGGGGGGATGAAGAGGGGACGGACTAGCAATCTGTGTGCAGTGATGCACCATCCAGAAATGCAGAGGTCTCCGTGCCTTTCAAGCCTTGCTCCCCATCTTACCGTAGCATAGCCAGCTTCAATACCTGTGTTTGGCTGCCATAATGACTGCCCTATGTCAGAAAAAAGGACATTTTGCAGGGCATCTGTTAGTGCACTTCGTAATTGATCATCACTGCAGTTACATGTCAAGCAGCATTTTTTTTTTCACAAGGGTAACTCTAAAGGAAGGGGAACATGCTTTTCTTTGTATCCCCTATTTACCCAGTTTTTTCAATTACAGGTTTTGGAGACAGGGCCTCAAGCATGACCACCTAAAACTTAAATATGCCCCAGTTATGGACAATGAAGGCTTTAGTTTAGGTCAGTATAGTCCAAACATGAAGATAATGTGAGTCAGAAGAACTGAAGTTAATGTTCTAACTTCACATGCACTGCACAGAAATTTAGGACAGTGTTTCAGTAGGAGACAAACATGCCTCCTCTTCTTCTAACAATACTACCTTCCGTCTGGAGAGAGATATCATGGACCTTAGGACAGTTAAAGAAATTCTAACAAAAATGCGCAAGGCAAGAAAAGCAAACGGGATTACAATCTGCATAAGATGGAAAATTGCTGTGCTAAATTCACTTAATAAGCATGTTAGAAAGAAGACCCCAAGGCTTACACAGGGGTAGAGAGCCAGCTTGGCAAACATGAAGGCATGCTCCTTGCCACCATATCTAGCAAAAGGATGCAAAGTTTCCCTTTCATGGAGGAGGGCTGTAGTCCATATTGCAAACTGAAATATGCTGGCAAAGAAAGTGATAACACAGCTGACCTGAATGGCTTCTATTTCATTGTGAGACTTCTCTGCAAACTCACTGGTCAGCTGGTAAGCTAGTGGAAGCCCACCAATGAAAGCCAATGAAAGTATGTTAAGCAGTCCCATTAATCGTGTAGCTTTTGTAACGTAAAGGAAAAGTGAGTGATGGACAAACCACAGGAGACCGATGGTTACAAATGAGCCAAAGTAGGCAAGGTAGTTTGGCCCATATTCACTTAAAGCTTCAAGAAGGCTGCCATGGAATTTCTTCTCAACTTCTCTGGGATCAGGGACGTTGTCTTCACTGTGGAGAAAAAACTTATTTTACTTTGCATAGTACTGTTAGAAAAACACATCTGGAGCAAAACTGAACTACATTGTTTAACTTTGAGCAAGTAGAGAACAACAGGCATCCACTTCATATTTCCCAATTTGTAACTTAGAAACAGCATTTCGAATAACAGCTCTGCAAATAAATTAGATCTGAAAGGAAGTCCCAGTCTAAGATGGCATTTCTTTAGGTTCATGTAGTAAAGTTGCCACAGTGACTAAACATCTGTTTTTGATAAAAGCCTTTTATCTGAAAACATGACTAAGCAAAATTGAAGTTTTGTTCAAGAGTCTCTACTCCAACACACATCACAAAGACTTATGATCACTACTGCCGAAATGTGGGCATTAGAATTATCTTTTCTTTGTGTTTAGTATTTTTCCAGAAAATCCTACCTAAGGTAACCACTGCAAGTTTTAGAAGGCAAAGACAATGTTTGGTTAATTTTATTTCCTAAAATAATACGTATCATCAAAAGTTAGTATTGTATTTAATAACACAAAGTGTAAGAGGCAACACTAAGCCTTACCATATATCCAAAATAAGCAGGGTTGCTACAATAGCATAGACTCCGTCACTGAATCCTTCAACTCGTTCCTTACTCAGAGGCTCACTGAGGTAAAAAGTGAAGGTTTCTAAGCTATGGTGTTCCTCCTCTTCATCTCTATGACCTGGAAACAAATTCACGACAAAATCAGATAGTATAAAATAGGTATTTAAACAACCTACTGTGACCTCCCTTTCTTTTTCTCCCCACCTGCCAAAATCTTTCTGTAGGAAGAAGAGTGTCATTCATCCACACAGGTCAGTCACTCCACTTTTTTGGCAGCTGTGCCTTTCCCTGAAGTTCATGTTCCTTCAGGGACAAAAAAGCCCTATCCTTTAAACTGTATGGTAGACCATTTCCACTAAGCGAATAATGACTCAAAAACTGTAATTGAACAAAACATTTGAGCTAAACAAATCGCAAAGCCCTAATAGCTGTAGGTCCTCTAGCATGGGATTAAAAACTCATTGAAAGATGCATTGGGACATCAAATGACCTTCTTTAAAATAAATCCAATCTTTGGACAAAAGGTGGGGATGGACTCCGAACTGGCCAATTAGCCAAGCTGCACCTCTTCAGGAGTATGGACTGGATGAAGAAAAAGTCTCCAGCTCCCAGAGGAAGCTAGGAAAGAAACTGAATGAAAAGCAAGTATAACCACAACCCGGTCAATAGAGCACTAATTTAAGTTAGTTAGCCATACAAGAGGGTGAGACGTACACAGATAGGACCTGACTGCAAACCACAGCGCCGCCATTGTAATAGACACAAACAATGTTCCTGTTTCTGGCTCTTGAGAGTCTGGCTTTAGCTGTTTCACAGCATTTCTGCCTGTCTAATATTGCTGCCACATGAGGGAGTCGAAATTATATTCCTATTTGTAATGTACACAGACTTCTGCTGGGCTGAACAACAGCAGAAGCACAAAGGTGTTACTCTTCTGACTCACTTGGGAGTGCCAGTTCAAAAGACATGATACGTTCAGTGCGTCTGTGGTCAGTTCATATTGCTCTCAAAAAGGGGCACTCCACTTTTTGGCTGAGTAGATTGCATGATACCACCTTCTTTATTTTAGCACTGGCAACCTCCTCAGCACAGTTTAAGAGCAGTTCTGGCTGTTGGTGTGGTAGTGCAATTGTTAGTGCTGACACAAGGAGGGCAGAAAGAATGTAAGCAAGGAGTGTGAGGCAAGGAAGCATTTATTTAAGCTGACTTAAGCCAAGTGTGAAGGCATACCTTTAGACCACAGCAGTTAGATTAATGAGATGTTATATCTTAAATAATTAACTACCCTGAAAACATTTAATTTATAGGTGTTCTTCTTGCCAGTTTTAAAATCTGAGATCATAAAGTATTGCCGGAAGAAAGTGATACAAGCATAGAGCTTGCTTCCTGTTTTCTTCAATCTCCATGACCCCCTTTTAGGACAGAAAAGGTTTAGATGGCCTGCAGCTGTCATTCATGTACTTGTGTGTGTGTACATGCATGTGCATATTCAGGACAAACCAGACAAGTTTTGCATTCAGAAATGCTCTTTGAATGTGTTGTGCCTTACACAAACGTAGTCACAAATTAGGGTAAATGAGGGAGCAAGAGAGAAACTGACTGGATGAAGCAGACACTTCAGTAAACCCCCAAATCACTATGTTCGAAGTCTGAAACTGGAAGTAGAACTAAACCTACTTCATTTCAGGCTGTCTGGATAACATGTTGGCAACCTAATAATATATGTGTACAAACACCCATGATTATTGTTACTCACCAACAATCTTAGTTTTACACCACGTAATGAATCGAGTGAGGTGCGGAAAAACGATTACGAGCCCAAGAAGTACATAAGACTATGGAAAGAAAGTGAATACAGTTTAGATTTTATTATCAAAATATAAATTACCTTCCAAGTTTAATAGGAAACTATTGCTCCCAATCTTCAGGTATAGTCACATTCAGAAAAACAAATCTCAACTTTATTACATGGAAAAGGCTCATGTGAAATGCACATGCACCTCCTGAATTTTGCACGTGCAACCTGAAACTGCTTTTTGGTAGCTAATTTAGTACCAGAATGAAGCAAGCTAAAACAAGAAGGGAAATAATTCTGCTAACAAAATGTAGTAATGACTTCATTGGAAGTTGGAGAACTATCCCATCTGATCCTTATGAGTCACTTCCAACTTGAGATACTCTGTGATTCTATGATTCTACTACTTATGTCCCAAAGACACCTCAGTGGGTCCTGAGTGATACACAGGCTTTGCACAAGAGCAACTTGGAGACTCTTTTCACTGTTACTAATATTAAAAAGAAAATACACAGAAAGAGGAAAACGTATTTTTAATTAAAATTAGGCCTTTTCACATTTGGACTCCTAACTGTCCTTTTTATCAACAGCAACCCTATTCCTCCCAAATTTGGGTATTATTTAAACACTGCTAATTCCCTTGGGATCTTTCTCAAAATTCTTCTAAATCCAGCTTTTCCTAAAGAATAAGACAGAGGAAAGGAAGCTCAGGATACATCCAAAAACTAGATTTCAGTTCCAAGCGAGAGTTCTGGGAAAGATAAAAGCTATTAATAAGTAGGAGCATCTCACTGTAATTTACAAAGATGGCAGAGAAGGCAGCTGTGTAAGAGCAGGCCTTAGCCAAAAACATTTGTTTTGAAATGCAGGTTGGCTAACTATTCTGCTTATTCCTGTTTGCTGTTGTACCTGTTTGCTCTTACACCCTGAGTTAGTGCAGCAGTTATATTTACTTGTCGTCAGTTTGTGCAATATGATATTTATTTCACATAACCTTACACATTATCTCACCTATTTCTGATAAGCAAGATGCTAAGATACAGTTTAGAAGACCCGCTTTGAATTAATGAAGCATTAAAAAAGAAAAAAAAAAGTAAAAAAATCAGGCAGAGCAAGTAAGGCTAATACTGTAGCAGAATATTTCATGGATCAAATAATTACGGATTGGTGTCTGTAAACTGAACACCTCCAACAGAAAATAGCAGCCATGATTACAGCACCACAGAACTGGCATATTTAAGTTGGCTTAAGTCTGCAACTTTAACATGGACATAATTATTTTAATACACAGTCCTAAATACTACTAGTATAGACTGCTGCATCAAAGTTTTCAGTTAACTGGGAGAACTTACCAATGGAATAAAGAAAAAAGAGCAGATGGCTGCTAAAAAGCATAAAATCGGTCCTCTTAGGATAATCTTTAAGATATGACGTTTATAGAAATTCTGATTTTCAGACACCTGTATCTGTTGATTCAGTAAGTGTGGGTGATAGAAGCCATATGCTACTATCACAGCCTGCAAGGAGAAGAGCATTACTGATGTTACTACATACAAGTATATGCAGTTTATCAAATGTAAAACTATAAATTGACAAATTCCAAACCACTCCCAAACTTATTCTTCACTCCCACATGGAGGGCTGATCTTAGAAACTCTGAGATTTCACTATACCCTACATGTCAAGAATTTTTCTCCTCTAAAAATCCATGTGATGACCATGGATTTTTATGAAGTGGAATAAAGATCTCCATAATAAGGAACATAAAGTGACAAGGACTGAGGCTGAAAACCCATGTTCACTCAGCTATTACTGCATGGCTCAGTAAGAACCTCAACAGGAAAAGTCAACTGCTATTTGCCCAAGAAATTTTAAAGAGTGGGAAAGGAATTATTATTTTGTAGACTCTGAGATCAGCTGATTTAGTTACATAAATCAGCTTCACAAGGCAATACAAACTTTCATCAAATATACAGATACTATATTATTACAAAAGACACAGCTTTGAAAAATAATGCTATGCTAACAAAAAAACCCACTTAGCAATTCCCCATAGTTAATAAACATAATTTTAGTTCTACCCAAAAAAATCTATTTAAAAGTGAACATGTAAATAGATAGCTGCAATACCTGTATAAGGCCAATGACAACAGCACAGACACTGAACAGGAAAATGCCAAAAGGTACCTCTGGAAAGGAAGCCATTAAGGAAAACTAGGAAAAAAAAAAAAAAAAAGGAGTGCAACTAGATAAAATATTTAAGAAGCAATGTAGGAATAACCATAGAGAAACAGAAGCACTCTTCATTCAATACTGAAACTCATAACCTAAACAGTATGTTGCATTTCAACATAATTCCATTAAGTGCAATTTCTAGCCACAAACACATGCAGATATCCCAACCAAAGACACCTAGAGAGGTGGCTTTGCTTTCATGTTGATACTGCAAAACCTGAACCTTTCTGACACTGTCTCAGTAATAACTACAGACTGGCTTGTAGCTGATTTTAATGTTTAACAGTGGCTTCAGTGGAAAAAAAGGTTATAGTTGTGAAAATTCCTGGTACTAGGGTACCTTTTTGAACCTTTTAATCTCTCTACCTCCATGGCTCCTTGTTGTATTAATTTATGCAGTTTCATTAAAGGAGGGGCGAAAGCATGGTTTAGTACCAGCATAACATTGACAACTTTCCAAAAATTACTTCAGCTTCAAGGCAAAGTAAAAAAACTTATGTTCTGTTGCTGACAGAGGTAGTTTTACTGACCACAGCTTTATTCTTTGCAGACTAACATTTATATACATATAACACAAAACATAGATATATTCACAGAGAACAGGTGCCTCTCATATAAATCTTTTCTACACATATAATATAAATCAAGATGCATTTTAATCAACTGTTTTGTTCTGCTAATATGGAATTCAGTTGCAAATATTCTTGCCAGGTCTAAAGGTTATCTGACCAGAAATTGTGCAGAACATCAGATTTGCAGATTTAAAGATGAATGAATGGCTGCAAGAATCAACCTTGCTGTCAAGTCAAAAATGATACCAAAAACTCTGTCTAGGTTACAAAAGGAAAATGTTGTATCATCTGAAGAGGAGTTTGAAACACAGCTTTACTTCCCTTACAAAATGCAAAATTACAATCAGACAACTTTGACATTTTCCAACACAGATGCTTTTTCAACAAGAAATCGCAGGAAACTATGACTTCCCATGATTATCATTTACCCATTTTCTGCTTGGTCTATAACATGCAGTAACTGTAGATTATAACATGTCCTCATGAATTTAAAAAAGTAAGGCTTAACTATTACAATGGATTCAGGGTTTATACAACAATAACACTTTCCTGCATTTCTGAGTACTTTGGTAAAGTCACTCCAAATAAATCAAGAAAAAAACCCTGTAAGTTAAACATATGTCAAATTTTAGAAAAGTACTTACTGTGTATGGCAAGAAAGTTATGATCATCATACATGCCTAAGAAAGAAAAAAGTGTACTGAAACACTAGGCAAAATACAAAGCAAGGAATTTCCTCATTAAAGATACATCCAGAGAACGCAACACAAACAGATCAAATATGCATGCTGTGTTATGAAAAACACCACATTTCTGAAGTTGCTGAGCTTTGTCTGTAAAAAATCGATAGTTCTGTAGACATCTTCCATGTTTGCTATATAATCTGTATGGTCTTATTTTAGAAAACCCTACAGTTTTGTTACCAATACCACAGGTGAAAGTTTTGCTATGGTTCTTAACAGACTTCTTTGTAAACTAGCAATGCCAAAAGTACCACACATCCTAAAGAGGAGTTTCTGATCTGTCAAAAACATTCATCTCAGATCACAAATACTACATACATTAGGAAGCCAAATTTAAAAAAAAAAAAATAAATCTCAAACACAAAGAAATGCTTTGAAAGCAACATTAGATAAGAATTACGTGCCTTATGCTTGTCCTCTGACATAATTTCCTGTAGTGTTATCTCATGGAGTTTAAACTCGGTATTGTTATTAAGAAAATTAAATTAACTGTGTGGTTGCACACTGTCAAGAAAACCAAACTTTAAAGAATATAAAGTTCTAGATGAAAGCAAGAATATGTTCACCATTGCAGCATTCCCATTACAACTACCAGTAACCAAGACATTACAGGGTAGCTTGTAAAAAGAAAATAAACAAACAAACAAAACCCAAAACATACTCAAGTAAATGGAGAAGTTTCAAGAGATAAGATTTAGGCACGCATAAAGCTCAAAACACTGATTTAGAGATTGGTCTCTCAGTGGTAGTTTTTGAAAGATTACATAATCCTGTTTCAGATAAGCTTCTGAATTGCTTCTGAGCAACCTAACAGAGAAATGACTGAAAACTGTAATTCAAACCTACCACTAAGATTTTTTTTTTTCCACAAAAGACATAGCATTTCATTTTCTTAAGCCTGGAGGACAGTTACTTCAACTGGACACAGATGAACAATTAGAAGCTTTTGCCATAGGTGCTTCTTCACTTTTCTCAGATGAACTTCAGACTAACCTGCTGAAGAGCTTCTTTTGGCTTATAGTAAAACTTGTGGAAGTTAAAAGCAAGTTAGTTATCTTTCAGTCATCTGGCAAGGAGGAATTCGAACTCTTTACATCTTCCCAACTTGGAAATTTGGCTGAGTTATGCTATTTAAATTAGAAACTTCTGGATATGTACATACAGACTTATGAAAAAGTGACCTGTGCATGCTAGTTAAACGCCCAGTGTGTCTGACTTGACTCACCAGATTTAGAAGAGCAAGGACATCATCTATAAGCTCTATCACCTGAAACAACCTGTCAAGGCAAGATGAGACATCATGAACAAGCCAGCTCCCAAAATATGTTTTACAACACTGTATACCATTGTACATATATAGGGGAACCTGATATGCTTTGCTCCAGAATTTACATGTAGTCCAAAACTCTAGCTCAAGCATGGAAGTAATTTTTTAGAATGATCTGAAAACTTTGTTTCTATTTGAAGGGCAAGTGGCATATGATGTAGCAAACTGGCTTCCCCCCTACTCTGTCCTTCCTCTACACCTGAAATTATGCATTTACTTTGAAGTAAATTTCACTGTTGTTAACAGTCAATTCATCTGTGAAGAAGTGATCCTGATGTCAGTTCTAACCCAAGTTACGTATCAAAACCCTAACAAAGCAGTGAGTGACAAATGGATAAAATTCCTTGGAAAATGGAAGATGGGGGGGTGATTCAGGTGCAGGAGTTAAGAATTATTTTCTGGAGAACTTGCAGTTCACTGTAAGATGAAATGCAGCCAAGCCACAGGGCAGGCTACTGGTGTGCTTTCTCCCACTGCAGTTTTTTCAAGAATATCTTTTATCTTTTGCCACCTGACACACCTGGGACAGGACAGCCAGCAAACTGCTGGTGAGCCACACAAGGCTTGGGAGCCTCAGGACATCCATCATTAGCTGTCAATTAATCACTTACTTCAACACAGGCAAGGCTCAGAACTGGAGACTGATAGCCTGTGCTCACTGCTCAACCAAATGCTTTTGAAGCATGAACAAAGGCAGACTTTCACCAGCATGCACTGTTCACTGCTCACACAAGAACATGAGTGAGCCTATTTGATACTCTGATGCCAAAGTAAAAATACAGGCACCAGACTGACTTGTAGCTTGTCAGACGAAGCAGTGATGCATAGGGATGCGAGACCTGCAGTAGCACTGCGCAAATCTTCCAGAGCAGATTCAGATGTTCAGAGTCCGCTCAGAGTCTCAGATTTTTCTGTCTCACATTGCCATGTGAAGAACTACTATTCTGATTTTCTCTGAGTTTCACTTTGGAGAACAGAGGCAAATTCATGATGTTAGGGCCAAAGTATTTTCAGAATTTTAAGGTTTAAAATTATTTCTCCTGAAGATGCAGCATAGTTTTTATTGCACAAAGAAGAAAAGCTTTTCTTCTGAACTGCCCACATCTCATTAATGAAATTCCTGCTTCACAGAAGTGTCTCTTAGACTTAATAGAACCAATCACCCTCCAGAAAACCCCAAACTATGCAAAGAGTATGCCTCAGCATTTACTTATGCAAGCAAAGAAAAGCAGTGCGATAAAAGCACTGATGAAAAGTATCAGCTTCAAGTATTGAATTACAGGTTACACACCTCTGTTAGAATGCAGGCAATTCACTTACTTAAGAATATAGTAACATTTGTAAATTTTGAAATTCAAACAAAAACCACCCTCATTCCAATATGACATGTGCACATCAATTGCTTTTTAACTACCAAGACAGAGGCAGGTGGTGGTGTTCACAGCTCTATAAAATGCAGCATCTGCAATACTGCAATTTATTTTGCAAGCAGCATTGCTGAGAACTGAGAAAGACAAGTTTTGGGCCAGCTGTACTAATAGCAGTTCATCTATTCGTGTAGCACAGAAGTTACAAAGTTGTGCTTTTTCAGCGTAATTAGAAATTGAATTCCATCCAGAATATGAAGTAAATTGAAGAGCAATTCTAATTTAATATATATATATTGCTTGGTTTTGTTTGTATCACTGTGTCAGGGGTGTAAGAGTACAGTCCTTCACTGCTTAGGGTAGCATTTCTTTACAAGTATTTTTTTTATGTTATCCAACAAAAGAGAATTCAGAAATGTATCAGACACATGGTTACTTCCTGTCCTTTTAAACAACTGTTTTTTGGGGGTTAAACACTCTGTTTGTACCTTACATGAGCTGCCCATGCCACTGTGACTATTAAGAAGGTCATTAAGTAGACTGCAATTTTTGCTAGAAGAAGTTGCTGAACACTTTCACCTAGTTTCTGAAACAGAAAGTGAAACACAGAGATGGAGAAAGGAAAGTTAAATGTTACATTGTGACATTATTAGCAATATCTGCAAATAAGGAAACACATGCAGCCATGTAACAGATTTTTTGAAAATGCCTGCCAAGAATGCAGTTCTCTTCCATCTTTTTACTACCATGCAGAGAAACTGGTTTCCTAGACACTTGTAAGTGTGCTGAAATGCATAGTTAGTGGAATATGAGGTACCAACACATCTCTCCAATCTGTAAAAGGGTTTCCCAATGCTCTGTTCACTTTGTGATTCATTTATACACTCTCTCATCACTGCTACTGTAATAACAGATTTCAGGGGAGGGCTGGCCACAAAATGCCTCTTATATTTTCTTAGCTCAGACTTCTGGAGAAGAAGCAGGTTTTCATATGATGATTGCTAACAATGAGGAAGGCGAGGGCTTAACCACAACAAATTTTTCATGTACCACCACAATGGCTTAAATAGACTCCTGGCATATTTGCAGTGTTATGGTTTGTACCTGAGTTTTCTTAACTAAATGAGACAGAACATTTGCATCATTTGGGTTTTAAGAGCACGAAAAAAAAAAAAAAAAAAAAATCCTTATTAAAAAGAACCCACTCATCTACCAAATGATTAATTTATACCTCCTAACATTCTTGTTTCTTTGAGAAGTTTGTTTTCTGTAGTCTTCTTTTTCCACCTTTGCTTATTCTGGTTACATTTACTATTAACTTGATTTAAAACCCAGCATTCAGTTTGCACTATTTAAGCAGCTTCCCTAAGTGCTGATGTATTACCAAAAAGAGCAGATGCTTTCTCAAAGATGCTTTGGTCAGATGAGCAATCCATTTTTCATACAAAAGTAACTGGACAAAATCTTGGCCTAAAATACACAGCTCATTCAGGTTTTATATCACAACCTCTGCAGATTACACAGATCTTGAGTATTTAAGTTCTTCACCCCAAGTTCAACAGCTCTTTCCCCTAGGGGAAATTTCTGTTGGCTTTAATGTTACTTGAAATGAACCTGAAATGAAGTGGGGGTGCTAAATTAGGATGTTACATATACTTGAAAAGTCAGAAGATAATAAAAGACAAATGATACCTGATCAGGATGTATTTTTGTGTGAGCCACAGGCAAAATCTGAAACAACAAAACCTTATCAGTACATGACACTCTTTTCCTTACTGAGAGCTTTATTAAAACCCAACAGACTGCAGGTGCCCGCAGACTCTGGATCACGAACCTGCCAAGAGCCCGCAGTTCTGTAAGGCAGAACCGCTTTTCGCCGCAGAGGTACAACGCTGTCCCCGCCACCCCACACATACACCCCAGACCCTGCACTGCGGCCGGGG